ATCTTGGCCAGGCTGGTCTCAAACTCCTGACCTTGTGATCCACCTGCCTCGGCCTCCCAAAGTGCTGGGATTGCAGGCGTGAGCCACCGTGCCCAGCCTATAACTTTATTTTTAACATAAAAGACTTTAATACATATAAAATAAATTTTAGTATAAGATAACTTACTTATTGGCGAGGCACGGTGGCTCACGCCTATAATCCCAGCACTTTGGGAGGCCATGGCTGGCAGATCATGAGGTCAGGAGTTTGAGACCAGCCTGACCAACATGGTGAAACCCTGTCTCTACTAAAAGTAAAAAAAATCAGCCAGGCACGGTGGCGCGCACCTGTAGTCCCAGCCACTCGAGAGGCTGAGGCAGGAGAATCACTTGAACCTGGGAGGCGGAGGTTGCAGTGAGCCAAGATCGCACCTCTGCACTCCAGTCTGGGCGACAGAGTGAGATTCCGTCTCAAAAACAAAAAACAAAGAAATTTTCCTTCATTATCCTAACCATTCTTGTCTCTCCTCTCCTCTACCCATCACAACTTTCTAGGAATTACAGTAAGGCTTTGAATGTGTGTGTGTTTGAGTCTTTGAGATATACTGAGATAAGCTGTCACCTGACTAAACTCCTAAAGGTAGGAATCTTTCCACGATTCCTCACTCTGTCCACGTGGTACCTAGCACAGGGCTGGCACATCCTAGAGTGGCTACTTCTACTTGAAGGGAACTGAGAAGGGCTACACTTGGCCCAAGAGTTAGCTAGACAGCCACATGAACAGTCTCTTGCCCTTCCTTCTGGAATTCTGAGTCTCACCTACCCCTTGTTGACCATGTGTAAGCCACTGCCCTCTTCTGAGCCTCAGTTTCCTCAACTTAAAAAAAAAAAAAAAAAAAAAAACACCTGGCCCGGTGCAGTAGCTCACGCCTGTAATTCCAGCCCTTTGAGAGGCCGAGGCGGGTGGATCACCTGAGGTCTGGAGTTAAGACCAGCCTGGCCAACATGGTGAAACCCTGTCTCTACTAAAAATACAAAAATTTGCCAGGCATGGTGGTGTGTGCCTGTAGTCCCAGCTACTTGGGAGGATGAGGCAGGAGAATCACTTGAACCCAGAAGGCGGAGTTTGCAGTGAGCCCAGATTGTGCCACTGCACTCCAGCCTGGGCAACAAAGCGAGACTCCATCTAAAACAAAAAAACCCTGCCAGTCCTCCTCTTAGGACCAATGAAACACGAATGTGGCAAAGATGTGCAGATGCGTTATAAACTATAAAACCCTACACCCATGTTGATTTTAGTCAAGCTAGTCATCCCTAGAAGGAGAAGCCCCAGTTCTGAGGGAAGGCAGAGCTGCTAGGCCTGCTGCCTCAGGCATGGCCTTGGTGCCAGAGCTCACCTCACAGAGAACGATCCCAAAGGAGAAGATATCCACCGTCTCATCATAGCTCTTTCCTTGGGGAACACAGGAGAGCACGCTGTTAAGTTTACATCCCTTACCTGCTCTGCACTGGGTCTAGGGTCAATCTAAGCCACAGCTAAGAACCAGGGCTAGAACAGGTTCTGCAGGGACACCCCACAGGCTGTCCTGCACAGACATCACCTGAAAATAGTCCTTCCTCAGCCCTAGGTGACCTGCCTTGGAGAGCCCTTATAACATAACACTGCCTAGGGTGAAACTGCATGTTAAAGTGGAAAAGAACCAGACTAGGATTCATCCAGGCTCTGCCATTAGCCAGCTGTGTGCTCCTAGGCAATTCACCGAATTTCTCTGGGCCTCAGACTCCAAAATGGATTATATTCAGACCATTTCTGAGGTCTCACAACCCTAATTTCAAGAAAGCCAACCAGCATCTCTGGTTGGTTTGAGCATTATCCACCAGAGGGCACCACACTTCAGTTCTCACCACGGAGAGAGACTGCTAAAGCTGGGACAATAGCCTGAGCTCTCAGCAATCCCTGAGGCACAAATGCCACAGTCAGACCTCACCTTATCCCCGAGGATGGGACACTGATTAGTTCCCAGCCCCCTAAGCTCAGGGAGCTAATTTGTGAGGCCCCTCCTGGCAAGGGAAAAATATCCTCAGCTCTGGGTATCTGGTCCTACACTTCACAGGCCTCCCCTGGAGTTCCTAGGGCTCTGATGCAAGGGCAGCATCTGTCCTCCCTCTGCAGGTGTCCCCTCCAGGGCTTCAGGACTCACCATTCAGCATCTCAGGGGCCATCCAGTAGGGGTTTCCCACCACCGTGTAGCGCTTCTTGCGGTCATTCTTGCGCAAGGTGCGTTTCTTGGTGGTGGCCTTCTCCATGGGGGGCCTTTTCCTCTCTTCCACTATGAGCCGTGACAGCCCAAAGTCTGCCACCACCACAGTCTTGTCCTGGTAGAATAAAAGCAAGGTGGGGACTTCGTGGGGATGTTCTCTAACCTGGCCCTGGGGAGGAGGTATAGGCAAGAGAAGCCACTGAGAAGGGGAGAAAAGGTATACAGCAAGGGAGAATCAGAGCAGAAAGCTCTATCAAATAGACACATTCAGGCCGGGTGCGGTGGCTTACGCCTGTAATCCCAGAACTTTGGGAGGCCAAGGCGGGTGAATCACCTGAGGTCAGTTGTTCAAGACCAGCCTGGCCAACTGGTGAAACTCCGTCTCTAGTAAAAATACAAAAAAAAAAAAAAAAAAAAATTAGCGGGGCAGGGGGGCCCACGCCTGTAGTTCTAGCTGCTTGGGAGGCTGAAGCAGATGAATCACTAGAACCCAGGAGGTGGAGGTTACAGTAAGCCAAGATCGCACCACTGAACTCCAGCCTGGGAAACAGAATGAGACTCCATCTAAAAAACAAAACAAAACAAAACAGAAAACGCATTTGTTTCTGAGGGTCTGGTATCTGAGCACAGCAGATTCCTAGCCCACAGTGGGGTTCATGGCAGAGCCACTAGAGTCCTGGAGGTGAGGTTCAGGGACTTGGAGAGTGGAACTCAGAGGTGGGACAGGGGGTTGCTTTTGTTTTTCCCTGTCCAGCCTTATTCCTAAAAGGATTTCAGGCAGTGGCTAGAACCAGGATAAGACAGAAAAAGGCAAGGAGGAGGCAGTAGGTGGGGAGACCTGGGAGAGACAAGCTCTTTGAATGGCTACAGGGCAGTCATGTGGGAAAGGAATGAAGATTGCGTGGTGTGGGTCTAGAGGGCAGAGCCAGGGCCAGCTGGTAGACACCCAGGAAGTCAGATAGCAAGTCAGTAAGACAAATAACGTTGTAACCACCACAGCTGAGGCGCAGTGGGAGGAATGCTGGTCTCAAACTGGTCCCTGAAAATTTACTAGCTCAGTGGCCTCAGGCTGAGGCTTCAAGTGCCACCACTGTAAAACGGGGTCAGCAATAAGCTGCTTTACAAGACTATTATGGGGCAAAAGCAGGTAAAATGACAGGGCTCTACATATAGTCAACAAACTTCTGAATGATTTCAAAGGTTGCTAATGAGAGAAGGTAAAATTATGTCTGTGTGTCTCTGGGAGCTCCCAGAAGACAGAGAAGGGCATTGGAAGAAGCAGGATAGGAGCTCCTAGGCAACACCTCTGCCCTCTAGCCAGAGGGGACAAGTCAGCCTCCTTTGTGACAAGGAAGCCAGGAAGGATAGGACCCTGGAGGCCAGGCCCAGAGCAGTGGGACATACCAACTTGATGAGGCAGTTGTGAGAGTTCAGATCCCGGTGGATGATACACATTGAGTGCAAATAGGCCTGGAACAGAAGCATGAGCTGAGGCTAAAGGACTGGCAAATCAACTAGACCCTGATTCTGGAATTGGGGGCCACAGATGCTCTCCTACCAGGCCATGCCCACCCAGCTTCAGAACCCAACCTGGACAACAGGGCCAGGGCCTCCTGTGGCCACTCCCTTGTTCCAACACTAACAGGAAGCCTGGGCTTCCTCTGCTTCTCTGCTGCCATCTCCTGTCCATCCTTTGGTTCACCAATCACTAGCACAGTGACTGGCCAAAGCCCTCACTGCTCTCTCCTTGTCCACAACTTCACAGAACCCTTGATGTTGCAGCAGTCCCTCCACCTCTACCCACTTTACCCAGATCCAGGCTGCTCCCTCCTCCCCACTCTCCCGATCTCTGGCTTGAGCCACTTTGAATCCTTCCTGCGTGCAACAGAGAAGTGACTTCTTGCTCCAGCTAGCTCTGCCTTTCAGACATTGACTTCCCCTACGACTCCACTTTCCCCAACTGTCTAAACTTTAAGCTCTCCCCTTTCCTACCAAAATGTTTGTAAACAAATTTGTTTGTTATGTCCCCTCTCCAGGCCTCCACCACTGGTTCTTGTCACTCTCAGGAGCAACTTCCTTTCTCCTTCCCTTCCCTTGCAAATATAGAAGGAGCCACTCCCTGCTCTCCAGCCCCATGCAATACTGCTTTCATCCCTTAGGCTCCTGGAGCTGCTCACACACCCAGGGAGCTCTTCCTGAATCACTACAGCTCATGACCTGCCTGCTTGCCTGTCTGAGGAAGTGCTCCTCAAAGACTGTCTACACCTTTCTTATGCTACCTGCTCCTGAGACTCTTGTGTGTCTGTTTTTTTCTTCCAGCTTTTTCAATGTCAGCCCTGCTCAAAGCCATCTCCTTTTCAGAAGCTGAGACACCCCCACCAGCCACATGGATGCCTCTTCTGTCCCACAGCTCCAACTGCCCCTTCTCTGCAGATTAGGTGACTAGCAGCCTTTCCCTAAGCTCTAGTCTCATGGAGCCAGTTTCCTGCCCAGATGATGCTGATAGGTTCTGCTAGCACAGAACAGCAGGCATCAATGTAGCTCTTCCCAAACCGGTTCCTCAACCATCAGTGCCATCCCCCATGCCCCAAAACGTCTGATAAGTGACACCTCAAGCCACTCTTAACTCCTCCCCCTCCTCCTGTTCCCTCACTGCCAACTAGTCTCTCCATTCTGACTCCACCCTGCCTCCCAGGCTCCTGTCCCCACAGCCACTACCTTAATTCAGAAATCTGAAATGTGTCATTAGCCCCCTTTGCAGGTCTCCATTCTCTGGACCCTCCGCATTCCACCTCAACCTACTAACCACATCAGACTCTTTTTTTTTTTTTTGAGATGAAGTGTCGCTCTGTCACCCAGGCTGGAATGCAGTGGTGTGATCTTGGCTCACTGCAACTTCCGCCTCCCAGGTTCAAGCTATTCTCCTGCCTCGGCCTCCTGAGTAGCTGGGACTATAGGCGTGCACCACCGCGTCCAGCTAATTTTTGTATTTTTTTCTTTAGTAGAAACAGGGTTTCATCATGTTGGCCAGGCTGGTCTCAAACTCCTGACCTCAAGTGATCCACTCACCTTGGCCTCCCAAAAAAGTGCTGGGATTACAGGCATGAGCCACTGTGCCAGCCCAGACTCATTTTGGAAAAACCACAACTCTTAAGCTTTCTTGCTTAAAAATCTTTTCCTGCCAGGCACGGTGGCTCACAACTGTAATCCCAACACTTTGGGAGACTGAGGCAGGAGGAATGCTTGAGCCCAGGAGTTTGAGATTAGCCTGGGTGACAAAGTGAGAACCTATCTCTACAAAAAAAAAAAAAATTCAAAAAATTAGGTGTGGTGGTACACACCTCTAGTCTCAGCTACTTGGAAGGCTAAGGCAGGAGGATTGCTTGAGCCCAGAAGGTCGAGGTTGTAGTGAGCCATGATCATGCCACTGCACTCCAACCTGGGCAACAGAGCAAGATTCTGTCTCAAAACAACAACAAAAAAACACCCTTCCTGATTCAAGCCCCAGAAACAGGAAAAAAAAACAAAAAAACAAAAAAAAAAACCAAGAAAAACCAAAAAGCCAGTCAACCAAAAAACTCTTTTACATCTGTTTCCTAAATATAGTCCACAACTCCTTAGCTTAAAACACAGCGACCCTAACGTACCCCCAAACTGTCCTAGACTACTACTATCTTTGTGGACCCCCATGTGAAGGGCAGTGGCTAAAGTCTCAGGTTTGGTAACCAGACTGATGAGCCCAGGATCCCAGCTCTGTCCCTTTCCAGTCCAGCTTATCTGGAAACCAAGGTTGTTATGAGGAATAAACATGCGCATGCACATTAATCCCTCAGTTCAGTGCCTAGCATATAGAGGGCACTCAGTACTTGTCAGCTGTTATATTTCTATGCTTGGAATCATTTGTTTCCAGGTAAAATAGATGATTTTCTCCTCTTTCCTCCCAGGTCTTTGCTCCTGTCACTTCAATCTTGGAGCCTCTCCGCCAATAGAACTTTATCCAATTCTGATCCTTCAGGGCTCCGCTAGAACTCATTTCCCCTTCATTGATTTCCTAGGCAGTGAGGTACTCTACTTGGTCCAAGGGGCCCTCAGCACCTGAACACCTGTGACGGCAAGCCCGGGCCATCTCAGGCTACAGTTGCCTCTCTAGTTTGCCTTGTCTGTGCCCTGTTTGCTCTTAGAGATGTGTAATTCTTTGAGAATAGGGCTGTGAGCTGAGAACAGTTAGCTGGGGCCAGTTTCAGTGGCAGAGACAAATTCAATGAATAGCTGCTGACCCAGCCCACACAAGTGGCACAGGAAGGGGTCTCTACATTCCAATGAAGCCCACAATTCTCACATCTCTCCCTACTCTCGCCCTGCTGGCAGGTTTGTTGGTGGGACTCACCATTCCGGAGGCAATTCCTTTGGCAAACCTGACCTTCTGCTGCCAGGGGAACGGATCCTGCAGAATGGAGGAAATGATTATCAGAGGTTGTTGAGCCCTGTCCTACTCATGGTCCAGGCCCTATGGGTCAACGTGGTCTCCTAGTGAAGCCTCCCTGTCTATGCTCAGTCCCACCCAGCATGGTCCTTTGGGGGCAAAGCAGGGCCCCTCTGGCCTTTGACCATGACAACATACCAAGGCTCCTGGAGACTATGGGGTGGTGTACTCACCATATTGCGCAGGAAGTCCTTCAGTGTGCCCCCCTCAATGTACTCTGTCAGCAGGTTCAGCTTCTTATCCTTGTACAGCACACCAATGAACTTGAGCACATTGGGGTGGTCCAGGCTGCGCATCACTTTCACCTGGGGGTCAGGGAAGCCAAGGAAAGCTGGCTGTTAACTTCTATGTCTTCCTTACCCCTTCCCTCCAGGGAATCAGCTTGACAAGTGTTACCACCTGTATCTCCTACCGCCTCTCTTGTGATATGACAGGGCACTAAGATCAGGATGAGGGAAGACCACCACCATATAGATGGAGATGGCTTCACAGACCTTACCCTTGGGATCCTGCCTTTCTAGGAACTGCACTGGGGGAACTGGGGTGGGAGTGGCCAAGTAGCTTGGAGGGCAGTACCCAGACCACAGGTGTCCCCAACTGACGTTGCTCCATGAAGTAACTTGGGAGGGATGGTGAAAACTGTAAATGCCCAAGGAGTGTGAGTGCTCAGGGAGCTCCCCCTCCAGGTTCCCTTAGCAGGGCATTCAGGTAAGGATTATAACATGGAGTTGTACTAAACTGGTGTGTTTTCATGTCCATCATCCTCATAACCTGAGAGCTTCTCTGAACCATGTATCTTTTGTTACTGCATCCCTTGTATCCTCTTTGTGTTGCTTTTAGTAAGTGTTCATTGAACAAATAATTATGCTGTAATTTAGAGGGAGTGGGATATTCCTCTAGGGCTCTTTTCTGCTTAGTCTTTAAGACAGTGATTCCAAACTGTATTTCCTCTTGAAGCCATTATTTGTAAGGTCTTCTCTCTTCCAATGGTGAAACCAACCTCCCGGGCCCCCTCCATCTTCTTACCTCAGTCAGAAAAGTTTTCTGGGTCTCCTCATCACATCGAATTAACTCTTTCATGACCATCACTTTGCCCGTGGCTTTGTGTGTCACCTACAGGGAGGGTGACTGTTAACGGTGCTGAGACCAGAAGTTCTGGAGAACTGTTTGAGAAAATCTATGCAGCTGGCTATTCCATCCCTTGGAGGGCACACTGAGCCGGGTCAGACTGACAGAGTTCATGTGTGGAAGATGCAGCGTGGAGCAACGTGGGACTCAGATGGAACCATACCCTCTTTTCTGGAAAGGTGGGCATGCACGGAGGAGAGGCAAGAACCGAGAAAAGGGAAGTGGGGAAGGAGGCAGGAGGGGACGCTGCCAAGCCAAGCAGGGGCTCTGGTCATTTGGCATAGGAGTGAGTCTCTTGAGTGAACAGAAATCTGGGGGCAGGAAGGTCAGTGCCAAAGACATGCACCAGGGAGCTGGGTGGGTCAGGGGTGAGCTCTCCAGCCCTGCTGCCCCTGCAAGCTGAGACACATGGCTTACCTGACCCCCCCTCCCAGTTCTCAGCAGAGGAGGAGGAGGAGGAGAGAAAGAGAGAGGTTAGTCCCTGAGACTGTTCACCAGGGAGGCAGGAGCCATTCCCCTGTGTGCTCCTTGTAGCATGCCCGGTACTGAGGTCTGTAGGCACCTAACAAACACCCACTGACTGGAGGCAGGAGAGCCACAAGCACAGCTCAACCCAACCTGGATCTCTAGGTCCACAAGCTCACTGTAACAGTAACACTGACCTTAGGTGGCCTGGGTAGGGGTGAAGCCTCTCACACCATCACCCAAAGCCAGGAAGGAGGCCTGGCGTCCTGCAGGGTGTGGGGTGGGGCCAAGTGATGAGAAATCCCCGAAAGACATTGAGAGAGGGACTGGGGGCAGAAGAGCAAAGTATTTGCTACCTGCGCTCACCTTGATAGCCTGCCCAAAGAAGCCCTTCCCCAGGACCTCCCCGTGGATTAGGTCACAGGGCCGGAAGATCTGCTGTGAATAGCTGCTGGAACAACGAAGGGATTCTGAGCGGCTGATGTCACGGCTGAACAGCAGGGGCTCCTTTGGGGAGCTGGGGCCAGGGGACCTGGAGATGCTGTTACTGCGCCTAAAGATGAGGAAAGATGGGGGTAGGGATGCGTAGTCCTCAGAGACTGGCCAAGAAACCCTGGAGGAAGGAATCTTAGGGGCACCAGTTCATTCCAGTGTCTATAGTTTAGATGTTATTATTGGGGAACAGGGGCTCTTACATCAGATGTATCATTTTGGGGTTGCTGACATCAGTCATTTATTTAAGCATAGTAAAAACACATTCAAAATGGGAACTCTACGTACATCACACATAGAACAATTAACTAGATTCTACTAGCTTATAATGCTCAGTATATGACATATATGACAAGACTGTAGATGGTAATTCACCATCTCCCATATTTGCTTGATTTAAGGTACTAACTGGTTTAGAGTGATAGTTATACTAGTATCCAAAAAATGAGCAAATGGGACTTTTTTTTTTTTTTTTTTTTGAGACAGAGTCTCACTCTGTCAACCAGGCTGGAGTGCAGTGGTGTGATCTTGGCTCACTGCAACCTCTGTCTCCCTGGTTCACGAGTCTTGTGCCCCAGCCTCCTGAGTAACTGGGACTACAGGCATGTGCCACCAGGCCCGGCTAGTTATTACTATTATTTTTGAGACAGAGTCTTGCTCTGTCGCCCAGGCTGGAGTGCAATGGCACGATCTCGGCTCACTGCAACCTCTGCCTCCCGGGTTCAAGCAATTCTCCTGCCTCAGCCTCCCAAGTAGCTGGGATTACAGGCACGTGCCACCACGCCCAAATAATTTTTGTGTTTTTTTAAGTAGAGATGGGGTTTCACCATGTTGGCCAGGTTGATCTTGAACTCCTGACCTCACAATCCACCTGTCCTGGCCTCCCTAAGTGCTGGGATTACAGGCGTAAGCCACAGCACCTGGCTCTAATTTTTGTATTTTTAGTAGAGATGGGGTTTCACCATATTGGCCAGACTAGCCTCAAACTCCTGACCTTGTGATCCACCCGCCTCGGCCTCCCAAAGTGCTGGGATTACAGGCGTGAGCCACCATGCCTGGCCAGCAAATGGGATTTTGGATGATATTTTGCACATCTTTGTACCTGTCCATGTTTCCTGAATTTTAAGATGATAAGCATATATGATTTTTATAGCAATAAAGTCACTATGTTTACATTTTCAAAAGCGGTAGATAATAGTCATGGTCAATGACTATAGTTTCACTTACTGAAGGAGGGACAAGAAGGTTGAAGTCCACAGCACTGCAGGTGAACAGCCCTGTGAACTTTCTCTCTGGGGTATGCTCCTGCTTTACTTGGGCTACCCAGAGAGGACTGACGCTCGATGCCTCTTGGCTTGTCCTGCCCTACAGGTTTTCTTACCCTTGTTCTTTTGCTCTGCCTCCTGCTGACCATGCTCACCAGAGCACACAAGGTTAGCTGCCCCCGTCCTCTGCATGGTGGCTCTACAGGTATCTGGCCACTCCCAAATCTTCCCTTTTCCAGGCCATGAATTTCTAGTTCTTCTCTGCCCTATGTTGCCCTGCCTCCCACTAATTTCATCATACTGATCAAGGCCAAGAGGCAGCGGGAGTGAGGGGAGCAATTTGAGGGGAGGGCACTGTTTCCAACACATGCCAGCTGAGAGGGCCCTAACTTTGTTTGGTGAGGAGAGTGGATTAAAACAAACAAACAAACAAAAAACTACCTTTTTTTTTGGGGACAATGTCTCACTCTGTTGCCCAAGCTGTAGTAGTGCAGTGGTGTGATCAAGGCTCACTGCAGCCTTGAACTCCTGGGCTCAGGCAATCCTCCTCCTAAGCCTCTCGAATAGCTGGGATTACAGGCATGCGCCAACATGCCCAGTTAACTTTTTTATTCTTTGTAGAGACAGGAATATTGCCCAGGCTGCGTTTGAACTCCTGGCCTCAAGCAATCCTCTGGCCTTGGCCTCCCAAAGTGCTGGGATTACAGGTGTGAGCCACAGTGCCCTGCCCATCTAATTAAAAACAATTTTTTTGGTAGAGACAGTGTCTCATTATGTTGCCCAGGCTGGTCTCAAACTCCTGTGCTGAAGCAATCCTCCTACCTAGGCCTCCCAGAGTGTTGGGATTACAGGCATGAGCCGCCATGCCTGGCCAAGAACCTGATTCTTAGTAATACTAAGAATGCGTCACATTTACTGAACGCTGTCCCTATGGCAGCACCATACAACTTTATGTCCTTTTCCACATTTAAGTCTTACATAATTGGTGAGACAGCCACCTTTATCTTACCATCTTACGTCACAGATGCAGAAACAGGCTCAGAGAAATGAAGTGATTTGTGAAGGGAGGAGCTCAGCCTGAAACCCCAGTAGGGTATCAGTATTTCTGCCTGGGAGCCAGTGCTCTTGACTTCTTTTCTGTAAGTCTCCCTACTTGGGGCTTCCACTCAAGGTAACTGCTCCTTCTCCATGGACCTGGCAGAATCTGGGGTTTGGGGGTTGTTGGTCCCTCAAGTCTAAAAAACTTTCATTCATCTTTTACTTTATTGTTTTCAGTCTTTCTACACAATTTATTCAATCCCATCTGTGCCCCTACTCCAGGCTCTGAGCTCCATGCTTTCTCCACAGGCCATGCTGTTTTCAGGGTATAGCATCACCACCTCCTGTCCAGCTTAGGAGTTCAGTGCACAGAGCCTGACCCTCCGGTTTCTAAGGAAACCTGGCAGACAGCTGGTCCGCAAAGGCTCTGGCTATAAACTGTGATCCCCACAGGGGCAGCTGGGTCAGCACAATCCTCATAGTCTGTCCCTGGCCAGCTGGTTCCTCTCCTAACTCTGCAGGCTTCTGAAAGCCAGCTCAGCTTCATCTGAGAGACAGACATGGGACAGGACAGAGCCAGGGTGGGAGGTGGCACCTCAGGGAACGTCTCCTCAGTGTCCCCTCCAGATTCTCCTTGGTGTCCAGGGTGCTGAGGGTGTGGGGGTGTCCGGCATTCTGCATGTGAGGAGCGAGCCGGGCCTCCAGCCGCAGCTGGTCCAGGCGTTGGGAGACGGGGTCATGTTCAATCAACAGCTGAAGTGTCTGGCTCGTCTGGCTAATTGCATCCTCCACCTGCGGCCAAGAGCAGTATAAAGCTCCCACAGGCTGCCCCATCCCAGGCCACCCACGGCCAACCCAGATGACTCAGGCACAGTGTGACCAGTGCTCAACTTGGCTAATGGTGGCCTCTAGCTGTCAGTGGCCTCACAGTGCCCTCTGCCTGGCATCCCGTCAGCTCTCCCATCCGTCAACCATCCCTGCTACCCTGGGAACCTGTTAAGCTGTAATAGGTCATCAGTGGTCACAGGCTCAATGCTAAGACAAAGAGATGGGTTGGCGGTAGGAAAAGGTAAAGGCTATAGCCTGATTTCCCAGAGGATCTTATTCCATGTCCCACCCTCACAAGACAGATTAGACACACACTCTACCTCCTCCACTCGAAGTGTGCGGACCGGGGTCCCATTGATCTCCAGGATGCGGTCCCCAGGGTGGATGGCATTGCGATTGTTGGGACTGATGTGCATCCGGTTGACCCTGGGCCAGACAAAAGTTGAGGCAGGGTAAAGATGTCCTAAAAACCTGCTTGACCAATTCTGCTTGTGCAGGGAAGGTCCCAGGCCACCAGTTGCCCCTAAAGGGCCCAGGATATCCACATGGAAAGGCAACACCTTTTCTAGGATGCTCCATCTCAGTGAAGGGAATTGCCACCCACCCTGTGGCCTAAGCCAGAAACTTGGACATCATCTTCCCCATTTGCAGTTCCCTCATCCCTCTCCTACTCCCATCTCTAAGAACTCTGCCTTCTTTCCATCATTGTAGTTATTCACATCTCTTACCTGATCACTGTAATAGCTT